CTATTAATGCTATATTTGTTCTATACTATTTTTGTGACAATTCAAAGAGTTGTATCATATTATTCATGTATAGATTCATATATGTTTTCCACACATGTTTAACAACCACAGTTCAAAACCAAATAGAAACAGTAATAACAGATAAAACTTAGTATTCTTAATTAAAATGTCCCAAGGCATTTGTGTGCTATTTGACTTCTAAAATAAAAATGTTGGTCTAATTTAAAACACATATATATAATACATCTTACTTAAGTGCAAACATGAATCTATTCGACAAACAAATTGCTCGCTTTTGATCTCCAATTAATGAGTATTTTAATACAAAAGAACACGTAAAAAAAATAATTAATTTTATCAGTACAAATATATAAATAAGTACGGTCAGACATGGGGCGGGTCGAACAATTATCGGGCAATTACCTACCATATGACCTACCAATTTTGCTGAATATTGAAAATCATTACCGGCCTGACCACTATGGATCGGATAATGGTTGGTAGTTGACTTTGTTGGGTAAACAATAGGTCGGTTGGTTGGTATTATTGGCCATCTATTTATTTAATATTTTTTTCTTTTACCAATAATAAGATATTTTAAAAAAAATCAAAAGATTTTCAAAATTTTGGGAGAATGTATCTTGCAAAAACATTGTATTTAAAATTAAGAGTTTTTTTAACTAAATTTCTACAATAAGTAAATATGTATGTAATAAAGGAAATAAAATAATAATCATAAAATAGAAATAATACACACATGTTTGTAAATTTGTATAGTCACTTTTTGTGGTTTGACTTCGTTGATATATTATTTTAACTTAAAAAAATAAGAATTACAATTAAATATTTGTAATAAAATTTTATTATAAAAAAATTGGTTGGCCGACATTACCTTACCAATCGACTTTTGAGTAAGCTGAAAATCACCGACATACCCATGTATACATTGGTCCAATAAAATTATCAACCCGGTTGTATAGGTCGGTTAATTATCTGTTATTGGTTAAAAAAAGTGAGTCGAGTTCATAATTCTATGACGCGGGTTCGTTTTTAAAAAAAATGTAAGTAGCTGAAGGAAAATTTAGTTTATAACGAGTTTTTTATTATCTTAGTTATTGCTGTTTTATATTTTGTAAATGGAACAATTGTATTGGAACTTTGATTGGACCATTCATATATACTGATTAAATAACCAAATATTAGTATTAATTAATAAATCTTTTCTTTTTCCTTATTCATTGGCAGATGTTAGCATTATTTTTACAAATTTTTATGTATATTAATTTTATTATTAGTAGGATAATTAAATATAATACCTGGCTATTTATACCAGGTGAATTGGAACTGTACATTTTTTTAAATGTCATGCAATATGCATCCCATAATTTTACCTAAAATAGCTACCAAATGAATTGTTTTTAGAAAAAAAACACAAAACACTCAGGAAGATTTAGGCAGTGTTAGCAAAAGTTTAAAAGAAATAGAACTAACAAAATTGTAAGGTGGTGTTTGCAAGAGGTTTAAAAAAAATTGTGAGTTAGTATTAAGTATTTATTTTTAAAAGTTGTGGATGTTTGCAAGTTTCAGGAAAAATCAACTATAAGCAATTTATTTTAAGAGAAGTTTATTCAAAGATGCTTTTCACATGTCAGTTTAAGGCAAGAGAAGCAGAATCAAAATTTGATATTGTAAAACACTACAAAAGTGATTTTAATCCAAAAAAAAGATTTAGAATCACTTTTTAAAAGTTTTTACAAACACCACCTACATAAGTTTGGATTAAGTACTTTTTTTTAAAATTTTATGGGTTTACAAATACGATGGAAAATTAACAAAATAACTTCTAATTAATTACAAAAGTGTTAATATAGAGTAAAAACATGTTCATGGATGTTTTTCAAATTATTTTAAACCATCTTATTTTAAAAGAAACAAAAATAAAATCTAATACTGCAAACACCCCAAAAACAATATAAGCCTGAAAAGAAGCTCTGAATTTGTTATTAAAACTTTTTCCAGACACCAACTTAATTACAACACTCCTAATTCAAGGTTTGATGTTACTGATGTTCCACAGTTATATCATAGCGATTAGATCAAATTATGACAATGATTGAATAATCATGAATTTCATAAACTTTGAATATTTTCAAGGTAAGAAACTCATGAATAATATTCATTCATTTTATTCCCAAGTATTTTAGAATTTATGTATTTCAAAATTGCATAATGGTGTAAGTCAATAACACTCATTCTACAACATTATTTAAGTAATGGTGAATCCTCAAGTA